CTGTGCGATAAAGAAAGCATTAGGCGTGACACCTATAATTCATTAAATAGTCAGTAGTACAACTGGATCTCGTCTTTCCAATGCATATCATCAATAGGTACAACATTTTCTTTCTTTCTTTTCCTTTTCTCTCTCTTCTTTTTCCGTTATGTGATGCTTTGTTTCTTTCTCTCGCTTACGCCAGTAAATATGACAGCTCCTACCTTTCTAACACCTTCAAACACTGTTCAGCTTTACCTTTGCTACTGACATGCCAATGTATTGTTGTAATAATGAACTGTTGGTTTCCTCAATCTATGTAGAATTCTATTTATTGATAACGTACTAACTGGATGCAATACTGTAGTAAAAATGCTGAGAATTCCATTCTGTATCACAAGTACTGTTTTGGAATAAAGCAAATTATTATTATTATTATTAAGCACGCACACACACACACACTTGAAAAGATAAACTCGTAGAAGTTAGAGGGTATGTATGGGGGCCAGTGATTGTGAATGGGCTACGAGCTCACCCCTGTAGTCAGTCAGAAGGTTGTGGGTTCAAAAATCCCGTTAGTGGGTGTGCATACTACCTACTGATGATGGATCCGAGACTAGGCTAACGAAATAGCTGTCCAAGTAGTCGTCTAGCCCTAGTTTTCACTGCTTCTCTAACTGATATCAATCCGTCAATTATAAATTCAAACCAAAAATATATACCAGAAAAAAGGCGTCATATGATATGTAGTGTAGTGTAGTGTAGTATAGTGAATATTTATAAACTCTTGTTTCACACATGAAATCATATTTTTTTGGTGTAAATTTTTCAATAACCTTAAATGACCTTTCTATCGATATATTATAATTATTGAATATATATGGCCAGGCGGCGGCAGCGGTGGGGGGTGCTGGTGGTTGCGGGGGGTGTTAGTAACATGTATATATATATATATATATAACACATGCTTGAACTGATTTATTTGTGTATGTGTGTTTTGAACAAAATAGGGCAGTATGCGGAAATACCGTTTTTATTAATAATATATGCCGATGAACACGTGATTACATATGCATATAGAGAGTATTCAGCGGATTTTCGGTAGAGTAATGCTATTTATAACATTTATTTATATAATATATATCGGTTATCAAGTTCGACTGCCGATTGATCGCAGTCAGAGAATCATTAAAAACCAGCACTGGAGTACTGGTCAGTTGTTGCATCCTCGTTTGGAACTAATCAGCAGTACGAACCCACCAAAGGGTTTCCAACTCACGAGTTTTCAGCCACAGGGTAAGCTCATAGACCACCATTCAACCAGTGGAATCCAACTCAATGGCTAGTCCATGAATTCTAGCTTCTACAAATTTGTGAGTTTAGCGTGACCACAAGCTTTGATGCACGCTAGTGACTGGCTACAGAACGGAATTTCCTGGAGTTCTAATGAGAAGTCATGACCGGTGGGGTTTATATCCTGTCGGAAGTGAAGACAAATTACTCGCCGCCACAGATGACAATGATTTGGTGGTGGCGAATTGGTAGAAGTTGCAATTTGTGGCTCAGTGGCTGAATGGTCTACGAGCTCGCTTTGTAACCGGAAGATAGTGTGTGTTCGAAACTTGTTGGTGGATGTGCGTACTGCCGAAGAGTCCCAAACAAGGACAAAGCAGCTAATACAATACTACAGTGCTGGTGTTTTCAATGCTTTGAAGAAATAAATCAACTCCCTACAAATCAACTCTTGAAAAATAAATCGGTTGTTAGTTTATGGAATTATTGGAAAAAAAAACAAATAAAAAAACATTCGATATCAAATTTTGATCACGGATTGATATCACTTATTATTATCATTGTTCCCTTGGGTTCCTAGTGGAACATAGGGCTTCAACTGCACGTCTGCACTTGCTTCTGTCTTCTCCTGTACTTTTCACCTGCATCCATGTTAGTCCATACTGTTTCAGCTCCTCTTCACACGATCTCCTCCATGTCACCCTACCTAGACGTCCCACTCGCCACTCGCCTTCCTTTCGGGTTCCACTCGAGCACTGGTCTGACGCGCGATGTCACCCAACGGCCTCCTCAGCGAGTGTCAAATCCATCTCCACTTTCTCCTGCATATTTTTTGTTTGGCAATTGGTTCTTGTTTTGTTTGTTCCCATAGTTTCTTGTTGGTGATTCTTTCCGGCCATCTGATCTTGAGCATAGAGCCAGCGAAGACAGTTGTTGGTAAAGGTCTGCAACAGGCTGTTGGAAATATTCTATGTGACCCGCCACCAAGTGTCTGATCCATCCGTATAGAAGAACTGACTGACTTGACGTTTGTATTGAAAATCCGAATTTTGTTGTTGATGCAGGCTGAGTGACAGCGGAAGATTTCCAGATTGGTTTCAGGTTGATGAATGTGTTTCTCACCTTCCCGATTCTCGCTCGATTTGACATCGTCGTCCGTTCCTCGTGTAGTTGAGAGAATGCTCCCTAGATAAGTGAATGAATGAAGTAACCTCTTTCAAATGCCTCCCGTTGATGGTGATTGGCGGTGGATGTTGCTGTTGTTGTTGTTGGTTGGTTATTTTCATAACCTCCGTCTTGTCTATGTTCACCTGGAGTCCTGTCTTTGCTGCTTCTTCGATCAGTTTGTCGGTTTTCGCTTGTAAGTTTTCGATTTTGTGTGACATCAAACATAAATCATCCACGCGCGAAATCCAGGTCTTCTAAGTTCTTCACATCAGTCCAGGATATCCCTGTCTTCTCGTTTCCCACTCACTGTCTGACGCATAATCCAGTCCACCACAATTAGGAATATCATTGGTGATAATAAGCAATCTTGTCTGACTCCTGTGTTTACTCTAAACGCCTAGCTGAGTTTTCTGTTGTGAATCAGTTGACATGTGTCGTTGTCGTACAGCTGTTGAATAAGGTTGATGAATATTTGAGGTACGCCGTAGTACTCGAGTAGTTTCCAAATTACTTCGCGGTCAACGCTGTTGAAAGCCTTCTCAAAGTCTGTAAATTTGAGGTAGAGGTTTGATTGCCATTCCGATTGATATCACTTAGAGAGAGAGAACCAGTGAAAACTGTCACAGGGTGCTAAAAACAGGCGTCTCGTCCGGGTTTAAGGCTCTTTATTATGAGGTATGAACCTATGATAGATACCCTACTGGGGATGGAATTCATAATCTTCAAGTTACTTACGAAGTGGGAAAAAATTGTACTTATGAAGAGTCAAAAGTCAGAAAGACGAAACAGTTGGACACTACTTCCTCCTAGCTTTCAATGCTTCTTCAACTCATATCAATTTGTGTTCAAAACTTGAAAACAATCGATTCCCTGCAGACTAACACACACACACACCTTGAATATAAAGCTGGAACTTATTGGTGACTGACTACAGAGTGAAGGTGGCCTGAGTTCCGATGAGAACTGTTAACCAGCAGGATCCACTAGATCGTGAGAACAAATACTTCGATGGGCGATAGTAGAAGTGGTGAAATGACAGAAGTCAAAATGCATAAAGGCATAGAGGATTAGAATCCATCTCAGTGGTCAAATTTAGTCAACGAACTCGCCTCATATAGTTTGAAGTTCCTGGGTTCATTTCCCGTTGGAATCAGCCATACTAGCAGTGCTCGAATTCTGAACTATTTGCTTCTACATATTTGTTTGCCAATAGGTTCTAAGCTGATTTACTCACTGTTAGAGTCCCCATTTTGCTTATCTTATCTCTAGCCTGGCATCATATCTGTTAATGGAAGTTTGTCACAGGAGGCCAGCCAGAAGAGATTTTCGAGATGTGGAAGCTAAGCACTTCAACCATATAGAAGCACTTATTTGACTTTGTTGCTGAAAATTTGGGCCGCTTTTCAATGTGCTAACTGCTATAGGGGATACAAGTACATTCAAGTGACGAGTCCCATAAAAGTCGAAATGCACCAGCAGGATTTCAGTGCTATAGTCATTATAAACAGAAAGAGACATTTAAAAACAAAAAAAATAGCCGCAAGTGCCTTGATCTGATGATTTTATGAGCAAAAATAAATCCTGCTTGGAACGTCATTAGTATACAATTAATGCTATTTTGTTTTTGGTGTGGCTGTGTTCTCTGAGCTGGAGAGTTAATTTGCGAAGCTTTCATCGCCCTACTAGGCGACATCTTCAGCTCATACTTCAATTCATTGAAGTGAGGTGAGCTTTTAGATTTCTCCACGAGTTTATCAATCAACTTTCCTGGTGAATGACCTTGGACGTGATTGGTTGTTTTTGTGCGTTTTCCTACCTTCTAGGCTGCTTGTACTGGAACTGATTGTTTCTTTGACTTGAACTTTGCCCCTTTGTGTGTGAGATTTCTTTTTTGTCGGTTGATAAATTTTGTCTATCTCGATGTGTCTATTGATTGATGATTCACTGGAATGCCAAGCTTCTAAAAATTCTCTAGCATTCTTGTTGTTTCCTCTGTCTAATATTTGAACCTTGTCCCAGTTGAATTGATGTCCGTGGTTGTCTGTATGTAGTGATATGACAGAGTGGATATCGTGTCTTTTGAATGCTAGCTTATGTTCGTGGATACGAAGACGAAGGGGACGTCCACTTTGGCCAATGTAGTATTTTTCGCAGTTGATACAATTTATTTTGGAGATGATGTTGGTTTTATCTTCTTTCGCTGTTGAGTCTTTTGGTTGACATAGAATTGAGTGAAGTGACTTTGTTGGTTTCTGTACGACGTCAATTCCTCAAGGTTTGAAGAGTCTTGTAGTGAATTCTGAGATATCCTTTATATATGGTAAGGCGATTTTCTTTGTGCTTTCCTTGGGGGCTTTTGATTTGATAGGTTGGCTTGGGGGTATATGTCTTTTCATGAAATATATATATATATATGTATAATATTCTTCTGAGGCTCTATAGAACACAGTTTTAACCAGTGCTCACTTATAGCTTATTTAAACATAGAGCGAACCATTTCTCTTGTTATATGCATTTATTCATAAAGGCGAATAACTGTATGAACTCAAAACCAAACCTACCCAATAATAGATCACAACCATCAAGGAGATCAGCTTCCACTAGTTCACGTGATAAAACATCTGCAGAATCTGTAAATGCAGAATAAGAATAATAATAAAACATGTCAACATAGTTAAACTAAATACTACTAATAATACTTTACGATACATCAGTGTATATATTCATTTGATTGCATGGAGGACTTCATCATCATGAGCTGACGTCAGCTAGAGAACCATTTTAAAACCTGCAGGGAGTACTGGATAGCCAGCTGCTTCGTCCTAGTTCGGGACTCCAATTAATTAATCTGATGCTCACTAGCGACTGGCCCTATTCAGGCAGTTAGCCTGGGATTCTAGTGGGAAGCCGTGACCAGAAGGGTACAGCAGGCAGTAACTTATCGAAGAAGACATTGAGAAATGGTCGCGCTATGTCATGAATTGGCAGAAGTTAGAATTCATGGACTGGGTCTCAGTGGCTGATGAACGGTCTACGAGCTCACTGCCTTGTAACCAGAAGGTCCTGGGTTAGAACTCCCTGTGGTGGGTGCGTACTGATGAAGAGTCCCAAACTAGGACGAAACAGCTGGCAGTCCAGTACATCATGCAGGTTTTCCAATGGTTCTCTGACTGATGTCAGCTCATGATGAGGATGAAATCCTCCATGCAATCAAACAAAATCCCTACAAAAACCAATACTTGAAAGTATATATTTATTTCATATATTTATTACCCTTTATGAATTTAAGCAAAGCAAGAACTAACTAATAATATGAGGCTATCATTTATTGCGTCTTCCGATTCTCTTCAGCTGCTTACAACCCAAAAGTTGATTATGTAAATATATGTATATATAATTCTGTCATAATTTCAACGTTCTACATGATTTTTGTTAACAGAGATACGCACAAATCTTGATAAAATCACACAGTGTTGTACAGTAATATTAACTCATGACCACGTTTCAAGCACAAATTATATTGCTTTTCATAATCATATCGAGGTACTCACTCACACAATTTTCTGGCTTCATTTATATACATGAGTAAAGATTGATTGATGATTAGACATTTGAATAAGACCAATATAAGATGAAATACATTATTTATTATCCTCCTCTGATTTGAATGGTGGTAATAATATCCTCCATATCTCTGGTATTTGTATTGAGAGTCATTTCTGTTGCATGTATTCGGTGTAGACTCGATGAAATAGGCAGGATTCTGTAATCAAGCTGTCTGTAATTCCGACTACCTATATTACTTTTTGGAATTTTGACTCTGTCCCACCCACCCTATTATGTTCGGTGGGTGCTTTAGCTGAGTTTTTTTCTAAATCACTTACCTTCGTGGGATCAATCATTCTAACTTTAGCTAAACTCTTATGTTTTCACAATCTAACTATACCCGATCTACTAGTTTGACTCACCTATGTAGTTGACCCCACTCACAGTCATTGCAAAGTATTTTGTAAATTATATTATTTAGTTGAATTGGGTCAACAGGGTCCTTTAACCTAAAGAGCTTGTCCCTGAGTGAGTTTGTAGGTCTAAATGCCACTCTAATTCCTGATTTATTAAGAATCCTACGTAGGGAAGGTCTCAGATGTCCCCTCTTTATATGGTTTAACAGTAGATGCCTTATATTCTCTTTTATTTATGTTATCATTACTAGTTCCGCAATTATTTTTATTTTGCTTTTGGTCTTTACTGATCTTCCCAATGAATTTTATAGGGTAGGTAGTTATTTGATACCAACCAGCCATTCTTCAATCTGTTTTACTTCATCACTTAGGTGTTTTCTTGTACTACTCAGTGCTACTGCTTGGTTTGTTAGACAGACACTTAACTAAGCCTGCCTTTACAGAGAGCGAACGAATGAGATGAATTAAAGAAGTCTAAATATCTATTAGCAGAATGCGTTGGCCTTTTATAAACACAAGTGTACAGTTTACCTTCTTCTATTCGTTTTATTCTACAATCTAACATCATGGCTAATTCTCCTTGTTCATTTTCCGATTCAAAAGTGAATTTTATTCCCCATTACTAGTGAGTTGATGTGTGTGTGTGTGTGAAGAAGCTAGAGAGAGATATGTTGTGTTTTTAACACCGTGTGTGAAAGTGTCATCCACATATCTGCACCATATTATCTTTGGAGTAGGATTAAATGTTGTATAGAGAGCAATATTTTCCCAGCTGTTCACATAAAGATATCTGCTACGACATCAACTACACTAATATAACTGCCGAATGTATTTTATCTTATATTGATTTTATTCAAATGTCTAATCATCAATCTTTACTCATGTATATAAATGAAGCAAAAAGGTTTTGTGAGTACCTTAATAATAATAATAATATTTACTTTATTCCAAAAACAGTACTTGTGATACAGAATGGAATTTTCAGCATTAATCACAATATTGCATCTAATTTCCTCAAATTATAAATAAAATTAATCACACAGAAAATTTTTCTACATTTACAATAGAGGTAATATCAAAAAAAACATGCAGCATATAAAATGGAAATAATAATAATGATAGCAGCTAAGGTAATGATAATAATACAAGTGGAAATTGCTGTGGGCTTGTTTCACAAAGTATTGTGGATGCGGTATACAAATCCTTGCATGATTAAAAAATATTGAATATAATGTTCTCTTTACATGATATGGTGAGGGAAAAAACAAAGATTACAGCAGTCATAGAGATAAGTTGGTGTTTGCAGTTATGGGAGTAAAAACAAAGAATCAACAGGACCATAAATATAATAGAAATAATAAAAGTAAAACTTGAAGGTATATAAAGATGGATGGAGGAGATTGTTTATTTACTAGATGAAAAAAGGTTTGTCAATTCTTGCCTGACGCTATTTTCATCACATAAAATACGTGACAAGTATGGTATCATAGAATTTCTATACTTAGACGTGCGAGCATACAGTTTTCTGAAGTTACTTCTTGTTCTACCTGAGGAGATGCGAGGTGAAAGCTGAGGGTAAAGTGGATGCTCCAAGTCAGACAAAATCCCTTTAGCAAATTTACTGCACGAAGTCAAATGCCTATCAACAACGACGTTAACTATGTGGTCCACTGGGACACCACTCACCTTACTGACAGTCTTCAGCATTCTACGAATTGTGACAAAGTCCTTTTTAAGCAAACCAGGAAAGAATAAGGGTGAACAATAAAGAAGAATAGGTAGGATGCAAGAGTTTATGAACTGTAAGAGGAGGGGTTGAGTTATATCCGAGTGCCTTAACTTCTTAATGTAAAACGTCAGGCGGATATGATTATGAGTAGTAATTATTTGTGCTCGAAACGTGGTCATGAGTTAATATCACTGTACAACACTGTATGATTTTTCAAAATAAAATCTTATCCATAATAGAGTTTTACTCTACCACCACAGTGCCCAAGTTTTATACTCTTATATCAATAAGACACATAAGTTAATAAACCATGTGCAGAGGTTCCAATTATATAACTAATGCAAAGAGAATAAAAGACAATTCAGTAAAGAAATTCTCCTTCATGAAAGAAATCATCTTCAGAGACTGTAAAGTCCTATTTATAATTACCAAAAATATATAGTAGTAATAATAATAATAATCTACTTTATTCCAAAAACAGTGCTTATGATACAGAATGGAATTCTCAGTATTTGTCACAATATTCCATCTGATTTACTCAAAATATAATTAAAATTAAAAATTAAAACTAAATTAACCGGAGGTATTTGTCCACATTTACGATATAAAGTCACAAATATTCGAAGCACGAATTGAGAATATTAAATATAATAATAATAATAACAATGAGTTTGTTTCAAACAGTATTGTCGATTCAGTTTGGAAATTTTAGCATGTTATAGATTATTGAATCTAATGTTCTGTTGATATAGTATAGTGAGGGGAAACACAAAATTAACAGTTATAACACAGCTTAAATGATGTTCACACTTATGAAAAAAAATAAAGAAAAACAAAAAATTGAGAGGATTATAAATATAAGAAATACAATAACAATAAAGTTTGATGCTGTAAGCGTGGAGGAAATGGTTTATTTAGTGGTGCAAAGAAGGTTAGTTGGTTAGTTCATGCCTGACACTATTTTCATCACATAAAGTACTTGCCAAATATGGTATAGTGGAATTTTTATACTTAGACGTACGTGCATAAAGTCTTCTGAAAAGACTTCTTGTTTTACCTGAGGAGACACAAGGTTGGAGCTGCGGGTAGAGTGGGTGTTCACAGTCTGACAAAATTCCTTTAGCGAATTTGTTGCATGACGTCAAGTGCCTATCAGTGACAATGTCAACGATATGACCCAATGGGATACCACTCGTTCTACTGACAGTCTTTAGAGTTCTACGAAGTATGACATAGTCGTTTTTAAGCAATCCAGAGAAGAATAAGAGTGAACAGTAAAGAAGAATAGGTACGATGCACGAGTTGATAAACTGTAAGAGGAGGGGTTGGGTTATGCCTGAGTGCCTTAACTTCTTAATGTAAAAAGTCAGACGAAATATTCTTTTAGAAATCGCTAGTAGTCTATTATTGAGTAATAGGAGGATGACATAATTGACGTAATTACTCAGAATGGGTGTGTGAAGGATAAATTATCGTTTTTAGCTAACTCATTGTATTTTTTTATTTATAAATTTACTTGTTCCTGTGGAGCTAGTTAGTTATAATATTCGCCGGACAAAGCGCACACTTTCCACACGTATCTCTGAACACTATCCGGTATGGTTTTAGCATTTCTTCTCGAGCACTTGGTGAACTGGAGCCACACACAGCTCCACCTCAGTCGTCTTTCAATATTATCTACAAAAGGTGAGACCGAATGGTACAAAGGGTGTCACAGGTTTCGGCATTTCTTTATATAGCGGAGGCGTTGGCAATTCGTCAATACAACGCCCGAGCTGTGCATACAGAAACCAGTCCATTTGTCCAGTCTCCCATTCTATCATGATCTCAGCCTCTTCACATTAGTCATTCCCTGTAAATCTTTTATTTTTAATGATTACGTTTGCTTTTACTTTAGTTAATGATTAATCCACTATTATCACTCTCACGTGTTTGTTTG